CCCTTTCTTTTCACTCACATAGGTCTTTCTCTTGCCCCAAATACCATCCCTTATTTTTTTCTTGTCTTTTTAAAAATCTAGATTATACATGTGAAAAAAAAAAAAGGATGTCTTCTTTGGTTTTCTAAATATAACATACTATTAACTTGATGATTTCTGGTTTAATCCATTATTTTCAAGTGATAAAACCCATATTATTTTTTATATGTGAATAAAGAAATACTTGAATATTGTACATTTATACTGGTCAATGATGGTGAATTGACCAAAATTGTCCCAGTGCAGCTTAGTGTTTTACCTTGTTTCCAAAGTAAGACGTTTTGTAGTTTTTATAAAATATGTGTTTAAATTTATTTAGGGTAATGGGAAATGGTGATAATTATACATGAAGTAGCCTGAATAAGTAATGTCTGTGAGTTCTGGAATTACATATGAGTTATGAATACATAGTACAGGGTACAAATTAATTTGGCAAAAGTTCTGTTATGTTAGCATCTTGAAAATGTAAGTAATATAAAACTGATTTTTTTTCTGTAAGGGGGCATATAAGAGTAATGTTTTCTTTGAGTATCCAATGTAAAGGTAGAATGTGCAATGTGAAAATCATTCAGTGCAAACAATCCATAGTTATGAGTTTTGTTATCAGAGCAATTGTAGTGAGTTCATCATATTTTATAGTTCATTACCATGTTGAATGAAAATTACAGAGTTCTGTTTATTTTCATATACATACACATGGAAACCTTTCTGAAAAAAAAACAGGAAATGTAATAAAAGGAAGTTTGTGTTAGTTTACTTATTTTGTAATAAAATATACTGGCACATTTGTATAAGCTGAGAATATTATAAATGCCACAGCTGGCCATATTGTGGGCATTTGACAGTGAAATGTTTTGCTCAGCAGGGTTCTTAATAGGCATTTCTGCTCTTACATTGTTGCTGCTGTTTTATAATAAATAGTGCTTGAAAATCATCCAATATTCCTCCCAAGACTATGCATTCAGGTTTATTGATTCCAATGCTATTATGCAAGACAGTTTCCCAGTAATTGAAATTCCCATGACCAATGCATAATCTATTTTATAGATGCTTTTCTTTTCTGTTTTCTCTTCCCTTACCTTATTTTCCATGATAGTTTCTGAGATTAAAATGATTCCTGCCATTGACTAAACCCCATATTAAGTAAATGATAGTATTCTCTTGAGCCCAGAGAACTATACAGCTTTTGTTGTATTTGCCAGTTCAGGATATTTTTCAATTGGTTCTGGCTTTAAAACAATACACACACACACACACACACACACACACACACACACAAAAACATATATTGAGTCTCATATATATGACTCAAAATGTTCATATTGTGTATTTTACCTTTACATGGGACGATCAAAAAAACATTACTCTTCTATGCACTCTTACAGAAAAAATAGTGTCACGGTACTTTCATTTTCAATATACTGCTATAGCAGAATATTGCCTAAATTAATGTGCACCCTATATTATGTATTCATAAGTTATATATAACTCCAGTACTCAAAAAATTATTATTCAAGCGCCTTTATGTATCACACATATACAGGTCTGACTCAAAGTATGTTACAGAATTTTATAAATTTAAAATTAGATCCTATAAATTTGGAGTTTTGTTGTAATATTCTTTATTTGTAGAGATTTTCATATATTAACCATTATGCAAAAAATAAATGGATATTGTATATTTCCGTTTTTTTTTTCTTAATTTCAATATATGTGTTCATGCCTGAATCTCTTTAAGTATATAAAGAGCATTCGGGTTACCACAGAAATGAGGTAGAAATTCCTCTGGAACTTGAGTTACATTTGTTTGTGAGCAGCATAATATGGGTGAGGGGAACCAAACCCAGGTCCTCTTCAGGAGTACCAAGTGTTCTTCGCTGCTGAACTATTCCCTTAACACTACTTTTTTTAATCTCCCAAAAGATTTATGTCTTATTTATAATTGTCAAATATGTCTTATGTAACTAAATAGTAGAAGAGAAATATGAAGTAAAATTAATAGTCTAATATTAGAATTATTGTACAATAAACCTTTCTTTTCAATTTACTGAATACTACAGTATTTTCCATTATGTAATTCTTAGTAAGAAAACATTATTACTTTAAGAACATACCCTAAAATGATAAATTTTGGAAACTTGTCATATTATTTTCTTCGGTAATTTACATTTTTGTCTTAACATCATAGGTTTTGCTGATCATTGTATAATAATTTGTCCGTTAGCTTCACAATATCAGAATAATATTTTTACTATGTTAGGTTAAATATTCGTTCAAAACAAAACGTATCTTATTATGAAAAATAATAAGGTTTGTCTCCCAATCTAAGCCAACGAAACCACTTGATTTATATTTAATCCACCAGAAAATGAATAAACAATTTTATCCTTCAGAGGTGTACTAATAAGGCATACTTTATTATTTGTTTTCATAAAATATGTGCACATTTCATAATTGCTTTAATTATTTTCCATTCACTAATATTATTGAATAATTTCAATTTTTACTATAGTCTCTAAAAACTGTCTTGTATCAGAAAATATACTTAAAATTTGGTACAATAGTTTATTGCAGACATTGATAAGTTAATGCATATTTTGTTATTACCAGCTTCAAAACATTATATGCTAAGCAAACAAGTACATCTAGATGTTGATATACCAAGACTACATCGTTCAACTATGCTGACACAGAGAAAATACCCCCTAATATTTTTAAATTTGAGCACTTATTTTCTATTTATTTATCTTTAATTATTTTTTATTAATTACAATTTATTCACTTTGTATCCCAGCTATAGCCCCTTCCTTCTTTCCCTCTCAACCCCACCCTCCCTCCTTTTCACCTCCCTTGCCCCTCCCCTAGTCCACTGATAGGGGTAACCCTCCTCCCTTTCCATCTGACCCTAGCCTATCAGATCTCATCAGGACTGGCTGCAGTTTCCTCCTCTGTGGCCTGGTAAGGCTGCTCCCCTCTAAAGGGGACATGATCAAATAACCAGCCACTGAATTCATGTCAGAGACAGCCCCTGTTCCCCTTACTAGGATACCCACAATGAGCTGCAATGGGCTACATCTGTGCAAGGGTTCTAGGTTATCTCCATGCATGGTCCTTGGTTAGAGTATCAGTCTCAGAAATGACCCCTGTGCCCAGAATTTTTGGTTCTGTTGCTCTCCTTGTGGAGCTCCAGTCCTCTCCCAGCCTTTCTATCTCCCCCTTTTTTCATAAGATTCCCTGCACTCTGCTAAATTTTAGATATGAGTCTCAGCATATGTTTTGATACACTGCTGTATCAGAGGCCCTCTGTAGTAGGCTCCTGTCCTGTTTCCTGTTTTCTCCCTCTTCTAAATTATTTTCTTGAAAGTAAACAACCTATTAATTGATTCAATAAACCTTAAAATGTTTTCTAATGTGTGTAATTGGTTCATTTCCTGTAGTTTCAGAAACTCATAATTAGTGAAATCTTATACAGATGTGTTTTACATTGAAAATTCTTACATTTCAGAGTCTTCATAACTGTCTTGCCAAGATGACATAGCTCTTTCCATCTGGAGGCTTGCCCAGTAGTAATGATGTGGGCATAGTGTTCCTATGTACAGTTCTGGAAAATAAACCTGTCGTATCTTTAAAGGGAGACGTATTTGAAAGAAAGCAGTGGGGTGGCACATGGGAGGGATTGGAGAATAAAAAGGGAAAGTAGAAAGTGATTTAAACTTATGCTCGGATGTGGTCCGTGGTAGCTCAGTAACCAAGTAGTTTTCCAAAGTAAGGGGAACACGGACTATTTCTAACAGGATCTCAAGGGCAGGCTGTTTGATCCCCCCTCCCCCAGGGGAGGAGCAGTCTGTTAGGCCACAGAGGAGGACTTTGCAGCCAGCCCTGAAGATACCTGATAAAACAGGGTCAGATGAAAGGGGAGGAGGTCCTCCCCTATCAGTGGACTTGGAAAGGGGAGGGAGGAGACCAGGGAGGGAGTGTGGGGTTGGGGAGGGAATGAGGGAGCAGGATACAGCTGGGACACAGAGTTAACAAAATGTAACTAAAAAGAAAAATAAAATTAAAAAAAAAATAAAGTGAGGAAAAAAAAAAGAAAGTGATTTAATTATCTTTTCATTTTAAGGAGGGGCGAATGTAGAAGGAAATTCAGAAAGGCTATTCAATTTCCACAGGTGGCTAAGGGGTCGACATTCCTCAGTGGATTCCTTTCCCATTGATAAAGGATAGTGTACAAATTCACATTTCTGATGTTGTCCATCCTAGAATGCTCAACGTGTTTCGTAGTTATTCATTCTTAAAGTTTCAGGCAAGCTTCAGGAAAGGCAATTAATCAAAAGTGAGAATGTTTAGTTTATATTTTGGTGGAAGCTAATTGTCAGAATGATATTTGAGGTAAAAGATAACTAAGATTGAAACGCTTTTCTCTAGGTCTAGATATTTCAGAGGTGTTTTAAAGGTTAATCTCCTCAGGTGTAGGCACCTAATATAGCAATGACACAAGAATACTCTATAATTCAATCATATCCCCATTTGAAAACAAAAGGCTTACTAACATTGTTTAGTCAATAGCTTTATAGTGATGTGACCTTATAATTTAATCTTGAACTTGACTGTCAAGATCTGTTCTGCATCCAGCTATAAGTGATGAAGATATTTTTTATATGCTGTCATTGGAGTATATTAATGTGCATAGCATGGTTACAAGTGACAGTTAAATTCCCTAGCATATTTAACAATGATAATGTTAATGAGGAGTTCCTTGATAGAGATGTCACTGTGCTGTTTCTTCCCTACAAACCTAAACTCTGTGTTCCACATGAATATCTTGTCAATTCACAGCAAATGTGGACTAGCAAATATTTTGCTCTTTCTTCTAATTGTCTTTGATCATGGAACTCATGGACACCTGTCGTAAGGAAATATGTTAGGATGTTGATGCCCCCATATTTCAGAAGTGACTACCAATTGCCACTAGAGGCATTGCAGGTGTGACTGTTATGTCACATGGGCACTTTAGTAGAAGACAAAGAAGAAGGAGGCTATGTCCGTGCCCAGTGATCAGACCGGTGAACATCTGAATGATCAGTAGATTTACATTCCCTGAAAAAGGCTAGGCTGAGATACTCAACAGTCTAGCGACCACTTAGGCCTGGATGTACTCCCAGGGTAGGGAGTGAGCCAGACATTAGAAGAACTCCACCTGAGACGGAGGACCCAGGCCTTAGTGAGTTCAAGATAGGTGACCCTCCCATGGGGCCACTCAAGCCAGACTATCTCCATGGGGCTCTGAGAGAGCTAGGCTGAGATGACCACCAGTCCAGTGCCATGTAGGCCTGGGGGAGAAGACCATTCCTGAGATGACCCTTGATCAGTGCCATCATGAGTGAGCAAGGCATATAACTCCTGAGACCATTCCTGAGATGATCCCAGATATTCAGAAACTCAGGTATCACTAAGAGGAGCAAGTAAGTGGTGGAGATATAGAAGAGAAAGAAAATAGAAGGGTGTGGGTACAATGGAGAGTAACTGGAAACTTGAGGTAATGAAGATCAGCTTAATGTGAATAACCATTGATGTCACCTGGGACCATGGTAGGGTCCTGATCTATACTGCCACCGGAGCTACATCTGGCTTCATGGTGCTGCAGCTGCAGGGGTCTGTTACCACCAAAGAAGAGGCAAATATCCCTGCTCTGGGCTGGCACCTGGGAACACATTAAAGTCTGAGGGCTGTCTAGAATTGACTCCACCATTTGCGTGGGCTTCTTGGGAGATGTGGTCCTGGGATCAGGAGTGTGGGAGACCTGACCCTGTCCCTAGACAGTTGCATTACTCAGGGATAGCATATTCAAATATTGTGGAAGTTGTAGGTGAGCCAGCCTGAGGGTATGAGCATGAGAGCAAGCCCTGCCGCTCATCTCCCATGTGGCAGCATGGACAACAGAGAGATAGCCTCCTCTCCCCTCGCTTCTTGCCACTTACAGTAGGAGAGTGTCGCTGTCCCTCCCTAGCTGATGCACTTGGTAGAGAAGGGTTTGCACCACACCTGGAGAAGAAAGTAAAGCTGGACCCAATTACAGGCATTTCTGGTGAGCTGGCCCCAAAAGAGTGAGAGCAAGACAGCCAGGTACCTCTCAGCTTCAGATCCAGAGTTTTTTGTTGTTGTTGTTTAACCAGTTTTTATTTTTTTCTTTCTTTCTTTATTTTTTTAATTTTTTTATTAATTACACTGTATTCATTTTTTTTTAATTTTCAATTGTTTTTAATAGTTATATATGTTCTTTTTTTATTATTTTTTTCTTTTTAGTTACATTTTGTTAACTCTGTGTCCCAGCTGTATCCCGCTCCCTCATTCCCTCCCCAACCCCACACTCCCTCCCTGGTCTCCTCCCTCCCCTTTCCAAGTCCACTGATAGGGGAGGACCTCCTCCCCTTTCATCTGACCCTGTTTTATCAGGTATCTTCAGGGCTGGCTGCAAAGTCCTCCTCTGTGGCCTAACAGACTGCTCCTCCCCTGGGGGGGGGGGTCAAACAGCCTGCCCTTGAGATCCTGTTAGAAATAGTCCGTGTTCCCCTTACTTTGGTAAACTACTTGGTTACTGAGCTACCACGGGCCACATCCAAGCAGAAGTTCTAGGTTATATCCATAGATGGTCCTTGGTTGAGTGTCAGTCTCAGAAAAGACCCTGTGCCCAGATATGTTTGGTCCTTGTAGAGCTCCTATCCTTTCCACATCATACTAACTTCCCTTCTTTCATATGATTCCCTGCACTCTGCCGAGGGTTTGGTTATGAGTCTTAGTGTCTGCTTTGAAACACTGCTAGGTAGAGTCTTTCAGATGCCTTTTGTGGTAGACTCCTGTCATACATTCAATTCACATCCCATATGTCTTTCTAAATGAGGATTAATCACCTTCACCTGTGTCCACTTTCTTGATTATCTTCTTTAGGTGTGTAGATTTCATTATGTTTATCATATCTTGTAGGTCTATATAAGCGAGTATATACCAAGTTTGTCTTTCTCCTTCTGGGATATTTCACTCAGAATGATCTTTTCTAGATCCCACCACTTGCCTGCAAATTTCATGATTTCCTCCTTTTTGATTGCTGAGTAGTATTTCATTGTGTAAAAATACCACAATTTCTGTATCCATTCCTCCGTTGATGGACATCTGGGTTGTTTCCAAGTTCTGGCTATTACAAATAAAGCTGCTACGAACATGGTTGAACAAATGTCCTTGTTGTGTACTTGAGCAAATTTTGGGTATATACCTAGGAGTGGTAAAGCTGGGTCTTGAGGTAGCACTACTCCTAGTTGTCTGAGAAAGCACCAGATTGACTTCCAAAGTGGTTGAACCAGTTTACATTCCCACCAGCAATGGAGGAGGGTTCCCTTTTCTCCACAACCTCTCCAGCATGTGCTATCACTTGAGTTTTTCATCTTGGCCATTCTGATGGGTGTAAGGTGAAATCTCAGGGTCGTTTTGATTTGCATTTCCCTAATGGCTAATGAGGTTGAGCATTTCTTTAAGTGTTTCTCTGCCATTCGATGTTCCTCTTTCGAGAATTCTCTGTTTAGCTCTGTTCCCCATTTTTTAAGTGGATTACTTGGTTTGTTGCTTTTCTGCTTCTTTAGTTCTTTATATATATATTGGATATTAGCCCTCTGTCAGATAAAGGGTTGGTGAAGATTCTTTCCCAATCTGTAGGCTGTCTATTTGTTTTGATGACAGTGTCTTTTGCTTTACAGAAGCTTTTCAGTTTCATGAGGTCCCATTTATTGATTGTTGCTCTTAGAGCCTGTGCTGTTGGTGTTCTGTTCAGGAAGTTGTCTCCTGTGCCAAAGAGTTCTAGGCTGTTTCCCACTTTTTTTTTCCAACTGATTTAGAGTATCTGGTTTTATGTTGAGGTCCTTGATCCACTTGGACTTTAGTTTTGTGCAGGGTGATAAATATGGATCTATTTTCATTTTTCTGCATGTAGACATCCAGTTGGTCCAGCACCATTTGTTGAAGATGCTGTCTTTTTTCCATTGAATGGATTTGGCTTCTTTGTCAAATATTGAGTATTCATAGGTGTGTGGGTTTATTTCTGGGTCTTCTATGCGATTCCATTTATCCTCCTTTCTGTTTCTATGCCAATACCATGCAGTTTTTATTACTGTTGCCCTGTAGTACAGCTTGAGATCGGGAATGGAGATACCTCCAGATGATCTGTTGTTGTACAGGATCGTTTTGGAGATTCTGGGTTTTTTGTTTCTCCATATGAAGCTGAGAATCTTTTTTTCAAGGTCTGTAAAGAATTGAGTTGGTATTTTGATGGGAATTGCATTGAATCTGTAGATTGCTTTTGGCAGGATGGCCATTTTCACAATGTTAATCCTACCAATCCATGACCACGGGAGATCTTTCCATCTTCTGAGATCTTCAATTTCTTTCTTGAGAGACTTGAAGTTTTTCTCAAACAGGTCTTTCACTTGCTTGGTTAGAGTCACACCAAGGTACTTTATGTTATTAGTGGCTATTGTGAAGGGTGTTGTTTCCCTAATTTCTTTCTCAGCCTTTTTGTCTTTGGTATACAAGAGGGCTTCTGATTTTTTTGAGTTGATTTTGTATCCTGCCACTTTGCTGAAGGTGTTTATCAGCTGAAGAAGTTCTCTGGTTGAATCTTTGGGTTCGCTCATGTATACTATCATATCATCTGCAAATAGTGACACTTTGACCTCTTCCTTTCCGATTTGTATCCCCTTGATCTCCTTTAGTTGTCTTATTGCTCTGGCTAGGACTTCAAGTACAATGTTAAAGAGATATGGAGAGAGTGGGCAGCCTTGTCTTGTCCCTAATTTCAGTGGGATTGATTTAAGTTTCTCTCCATTGAGTTTGATGTTGGCTATAGGCTTGCTGTATATTGCCTTTACTATCTTTAGGTATGTGCCTTGTATCCCTGATCTCTCCAAGACTTTAAACATAAATGGGTGCTGGACTTTGTCAAATGCTTTTTCAGCATCTAAGGAGATGATCATGTGGTTTTTCTCCTTCATTTTGTTTACGTGGTGGATTACATTGATGGATTTCCATATGTTGAACCACCCTTGCATTCCTGGGATGAAGCCTACTTGGTCATGGTGGATGATATCTTTGATGTGTTCTTGGATTCGGTTTGCAAGTATTTTATTGAGTATTTTTGCATCAATGTTCATAAGAGAGATAGGTCTGAAGTTCTCTTTTTTTGTTGGATCTTTGTGTGGTTTAGATATCAAAGTGACTATGGCTTCATAGAATGAGTTTTGTAGTGTTCCTTCTATTTCTATTTTGTGGAATAGTTTGAGGAGAATTGGTGTTAGTACTTCTTTGAAGGTCTTGTAGAATTCTGTGCTGAAGCCATCTGGTCCAGGGCTTTTTTTGGAGGGGAGACTGTTAATGACTGCTTCAATTTCCTTGGTAGATATAGGGCTATTCAGTCTTTCTACCTGATCTTGACTTAATTTTGGTAGATGGAATCTGTCAAGAAAGTTATCCATTTCATTTAGATTTTCAAATTTTGTGCCATATAGGCTTTTGTAGTATGACCTAATAATCGTTTGGATTTCCTCAGTGTCTGTAGTTATGTCCCCATTTTCCTTTCTGATTTTGCTGATTTGTACTGTTTCTCTCTGCTTTTTAGTTAGTTTGGCTAAGGGTTTGTCTATCTTGTTGATTTTCTCAAAGAACCAGCTTTTTGTTTCATTGATTCTTTGGATAATTTTATTTGTTTCTAATTGATTGATTTCTGCCCTTAGTTTGATTATTTCCAGCCGTCTGCTCCTCTTGGGTGTATCTGCTTCTTTTTTTTCTAGGTTTTTCAGTTGGGCCATTAAGTTGTTTGTATGTGATGTTACGGATTTCTTCTTATAGGCACTTAGTGCTATAAATTTTCCCCTGAGCACTGCTTTCAATGTGTCCCATAAATTTGGGTATGTTGTGCCTTCATTTTCATTGAATTCTAGAAAGTCTTTAATTTCTTTCTTTATTTCTTCCTTGACCCAGCTGTCATTGAGTAGTAAGTTGTTCAGTTTCCATGTGCGTGTCGGCTTTTTGTTGTTTCTGTTGTTGTTGATGTCC